TGGTAATATAAAAAAAGAATACTTTTATTCAGTGAGGATGCATTAGTATGATCAAAAGATAATGTAAAGACATAATATTACAAAAGATTTCATATAGAAACCTTTTCTTTTGAACTTTCTGTACTGTATTTTTTGGGAGGACAAAAATGTAGCCTTCGTGAGATAAATCTTACCTACCCCAAACAAACTGTGAACTATTCCTTTAACTGAGAATACATATCAGTAAAACTGCCATTATGTTATGCAAATTGTTTTATGGTGTGTTGATGCACAAACAAGTGCTCAAAAGCCACTGGTTTACACGACCGAACACGTCAGAGTGGGATTCACTCTAGTGGGACTCACATGGACCCGTTTCAGCTCGTTACTGACCGCTTTTGTACATGGCCTCTCTCATAAACTTGGCAGCTTCCTGCCTTCCCAAATGTGCTCTTCAGACCTCTCGTTAGTCTCTAATGAGCCGCCACGTTGATTGCTGGGAAAGGAGAAAAACAAAACAGCAGAGGAACATCCAGATTGTCTCATTCCACCTTTTATTTCCACCCCGACACAGACAAAGGAGGCCTCACTTTGCTCAAACAGCCATAATGCTCCACTGTTGTTTCCCTTTGTTTTGTTCATGTCCTGTCCTGGAGTTCCACAAACAACGAGAGCCTTTCTATCTTTCGCAAACACATCCATATTCCTCTCCCCTTTTTTTCTCCAGTCATCTCTTTCTCTTCTTCCACCCCCTCTCCCGCTCTTGCTCTTTTTTAACCCGTGCCCCTCCCTATCCCTCTCCTTTTGTGTCCCTCAAGCTGGTTTAAATATTTAAACAATGCAATTAGCGTTACACCTGATGCAATTGAAAGACGGGCCCTCTGTGACCGTATGCTTTGGCACGGCAACACAGCAGGAATGCCTTTGCTCATAGCCTTTAATGTCAGCGTCAGATGAATACAGGTTTCTCAACCCCCGAACTAGTCATTGAATTCGAATCTCTGGAAGTGACTGCAGTTCTGTTATAGAGTGTACATTTGCTGTACTTGTTGTTAAGCACCCAGTTTAATCTCTGATTTGTTAGAATAGAATTGAATAGAATAAATAAAATGTAGTTATGCACCGAAATATTTTTTTTCTTCCATTAAGCCTTAAATAAATTAATTAAACTATCCTGTTCATGCTGTCATGTCTCATGACATTGACATAATCAAAACATGTTATCGGAGACGTGCTGATGCGCCCAAATATTTGAGCCCGTTCTCATCCTTTAACGTCATATAGAACGCTATATGACAAAACGGCGCTATACTACGCACATGGCACCCTTTATCGTTAATATAACACGCGAACCCAAGACGTTATAAATCCTTTAGCGTGAATATGACACGCACACCCTACCCCACACCTAAACTTAGCCCTCACAGCACGTGTTATATTAACGATAACGGGTGCCATGTGCGTAGTATAGCGCCGTTTTGTCATATAGCGTTCTATATGCCGTTAAAGGATGAGAATGCGTTGAATATTTCCAGTTGCAGAAATTTTGATTCAACAATAACCCAATTGCCACACAACTGGACAGTTAAAAATTATTGTAGGTACAACTTTAAGACATAGTAGAGCCAGACCGATATATCGGCAGGCCGATATTATCGGCCGATATTAGGTATCGGCAGTTATAATGGCTGATAAATGAATATTTCAAAAATAAAATAAACACTCGTTGAGTTGGTCACGAGACATACATTGCTTGAATAACAATTAAAAGAACATCCCTATCAGTTCTCTTAGCTCAAATAAGCATGAAAAAATTTGTGACTATCATGTCCAGTTTTGCTGCAGCTAAATAAGCCGAGAGTGAAGCGGAAACAGCTAGTAATAATTATGTTACTTTGTTATAGTGTAGTTGACTGACTGTCCTTTTAACTTTCGACAATGTGACTGAAGTATTTCTGAAGTATTTAATGCCACTATCATCAGTCTGTTCTGTTGTGACTAAAAAAGAAACAAGTTTCTTTTAAAAATGCATTATCATATTATTTTAGTTAAAACTCATAAATAATGACTAATGTTAGGAAATAACTAATGTTAGGGAAATCTGTTAATGTTTTGATGTGCGTTTCTGAAATAATTTTAAAGAATATATATCGGCCGATATATCGAATTTTAAAACCCAAAAACATTTTGTATCGGTATCGGCCTTCAAAATCCTTTATCGGTTGGGCTCTAATACATAGGCTGTAATGTTGCAATCACATTAGTTCGATTACCGTATGACTCTTTATTGCTGGCTCTTTGTGGTGAATCAGAAACATCCAGTGCAACCAGTGTGGGACAATTGAATGAATCAATCAATTAAACAGTGAATCAATACATGAATTAAATATGTTAACATATTTTGTTAGTTTAGTATTTTTCTTTGATATATAGTTAGAAGAAGGTAATAGATTACATTTGTTACCTTTTGTTATATTACCTCTGATTTTTGAAAGAATTATACATTTATTTCTGATTTGTGTTACAGATTCTATTGTCAACATATTGCTGATGGGGGGGAAAAAAAGAATCGAAAGCACTAAAATAATTGTTCATATAACAACTGATAGATCAAGTCATTAAGGGGATTCAGAATCAGAACCAGAATTGTTCAGTTCGTCATGATTCCCATCCCTATCACATGCATGAAGTTGTGTCAGGGAGTTTTGGCTCTGATTTAAAGTTCTTTGCTCCATCTCAGTGCTTCCCCAGAGAGATTTAGATCAGCTCCTTGTAATTTCTGTGCCAATCCTGAAGAACTGAAACAAACCTTTTATTTAGTCTCACTCCCTCTGTTTTGCATCTGCCAACACAACAGACGTCAGTGGAAAAGGAAAAAATGTGAAACATTTCTCATAATAAGGGAAACCCATTCTGTGCTTGGACTGTATGATTGAGGTCACAACAAGCACATACAACAAACTGTTTAATCTCAATATTTCTTTATTCTTGTTGCAAACTGGGGAATAGATAAATTGTTGTGGTGTATAATCTCGCTTTGCATTGAAATGAGGGATTGAGCTGTTATCTTTGCGTTTGTGCTCGCTGTTAAACTCTTGCTGATAGATATGCAGTCACAGAGGAAACTCCTTATCATAATTTAATGTGCTTACCATAGAGAAACAAATACCTCCAAATTGCAAATCCACCTTGGAGACACAGGATCAACGGTCCTACTTAGAGTTAAACTGTCAATCACATGCAGTCCTTGGCTTGAAGATGGTCTATGGTAAGCTATGGTAATTTGACTCGACCTGTCCTTCATTTAGACAGTAAGGATGAAAACTTTTTGATTTACTACTGCTTCCATCTATATACTTGTACAAAAAAAAAATGATGAAAAATGGTGGCATATACCTTGTAAATATACCGTTTGGAGCAATATGTTTTATCAGGTCCTGTGACAAGGGAATCTCAAAAAGGTTCTTTATGCTTTAGCATTATCATTTTGGCCCATCATTTCCAACATTTCTGTAAATTTGACCAACTTCCCTGTACGAAATGATACAAAAATGGTACCTTGTAAAATATGCCATGGCACTGCATGTTTACCATATTCATATAGCATGGTGGTATAAATTAAAAAGTTTGGAGTCTGTAAGATTTCTTTTTTAAATAAATGAATAGAATCAGATTGATCAAAAGTGAAGTAAAAGGTTTTTTTTTTTTTGTTGTTGTTTATAAATGCTGTTGTTTTAAACTTTGTTTTCATCAAGTAATCCTAAATAAAATTTAAAGTACAGCTGTTTTCAACATTGATGGTAAGTAAAGTTTATTTAGCACCAAACCAGCATATTAGAATGAAAATGCAGTTTTGTCAACACAGGAATATATTACATTTAAAAAATCTATTAATGCAAATCTAAATACTTTTCTTTTAAAAGATATTTAAATATAAGGTTTTTAATGTTTGTTTTTTTTAATCAAATAAATGGAGCCTTCTTGGTAAGCAAGCATAAGAGACTTCTTTCATAAATGTAAAAACTTACCAATCCAAGCTTTTGAACCGTGCCATTATCATGGTATTGCCATGACAAAACAACAAAACCCACGTTTTAGAAAAAAATGGTATTCCAATGTACTTTTTCGTATACTTTTGTCAGTTTACATTTATAATGCAGCAATTTTCCTTTGCAATTCTATTTGATTATAATAATGACAACCACTAGATTGGAACAACATGCATGGCATACTGGCAATTATTGCTGTTGTCAGATTTTCCATCACCTCATTTTAATTAGACTAACCTCAGAAGGCGTTTACTTTATTAGATAGTTCTTAATGATGTTACTATGAAAGTGTTTGACCTTGCTAGTAGTATGTCCCACACTGGTACAGTAGATGTCAACTTGCACTGAGCAATCATCTTAAATGAAGATAGAATTAATTGTCATTCTTTTAATTAGCCCTTTGTTTGATTTAACTAGAAGCACTGGGTTAAATATCTTTATCATTCGACTCTCACTCTCGCTGCCACTGGCATCTATCGATCTCTATCCATATTAGGCTTCTCTAATCATATACAGTGAGCATTTGCATGTTGTTGACATCGTATTGATTTGTCAGTAGGTGACATGAGGACAGGCGAGGAGTGAAAAGGGGTCCAGACGTACACGAGATTGAGACGCGGGTCGTAATGGAGAGGTCAAGCTCAGAGGGAATGCCCTGGAGGAGGGGAGAATCCTCCATCCCAGCTTGAGAAACGCTAAATTCAACCCCAGCTGAGAGGGGGGGAGGGCAGCGCACCCGGCTGTCTCGATTTTACATGTCCTGTGTTTGTGTTTTTTCTCATCTTGTGTATGTGTATGTCATTTATGTTTTTGTGTGAGCATGCGTGTGTGTGTGTGGATCTTTTTCAAAGGGGGGAGGGGTCTACCCACATGGCGATTAATTATTCATAAGGTGGGCGGGGATAAGTCAAAGTAGGAGGCGACAGACAGGGTTTGCGATGTGTGAGGGAGGCAGAAAGAGAGAGGGAACATCAGAGACAGTTAGGAAGGGTTTGAGGAAAGGATGCACAGAGACATTAAGGAACTACACACATGCTTTACTTCTTGATGGCACAGATTGTAAGCCACAGTGACCTACTCCTCTAGTCAAAGGATTTTAAACCAAGCACAACCAAGCCGGCACAAATGAAAGGGGAATCTACTGTAATAGAGATGACAGGCCAGCTCACTCATACCATATACGGAGACCTTTTTGCCTGAAAGGTAAATTTGATTTGTTTTCTTACATATTCATTGGTGTGTCTCTGTCTGGATTCTGGAGCAGACACTGACTACAGCGGGCGGATAATTGGCCCTTTTTGTTTCTGTTCTCTTTCATTCATTCTTGTGTGTATTTCATCCCACATGCTGACCGCATTACGCTGGGCTTTGTTGGTCTGACACGTTTAGACTTGTGGCTTATTCTAATAGTTAATAGTTATATTAAGCTTTTAATTCATGTAGAATATAAATTAAGCAGATCAATTTAATACATTAGATATTAAATCAAATAAATATTTGACAGATTAAATTAAATGCTTATTTGCAAGATGGGCAAACAACTGCAGTGTTATTGTCTCACTGACAATAATTGTGTGCCTTTGATCTGTGATTTTTGTTAATCACTGTGGCTGCACCTTATTCTAATAAAGGGCCTTTGAGAACAATGCATTTGGTTTTATGAGTTAGTCATTTCCTAAATCAGTCAGGCGCTTATTGATGAGTGGTCTGCTGCAGATGAGGACATATTGATCTCTGAGTTTGTTCTGGACTCCATGTTGCGCGATCTGGGTCTTGTAAACTTCACTGGCTCTGGCGATGACCTTTGTGAACTCTGTTGCGTTGCCCTCTCGCACTCGTTCTAAAGTCTTCTGTCGCTCTGCGTGTCTCACTGCTACCACTTAATGTCCTCTTAGTTCTTGGCAGTCTGAAGAGGAGTCTTTGTTTTACCCTAAAATTAGACCACAGCTGTCAGTCAGATGCATGTTGTGTTCAGCTGAGGATGTATGGAGCAAGAAAATAATAATTTACTGAAGCACACACGCCAGCTACCCTTGACAACCTCAAGCACACCTCGATTTCATTGTATGAACTGTCATTGTCTGTTCTGTGTACATTGATACTCTGCAGTGTTGTCTCAGTGTAAGTTCTGAGAGATTGTATCGTTTTAACAAGATCTAATTTAAAATACTTACTATTTATTTCTACAGACCATTAGATCACTTTAATGAAAGTGTTTAGGGTGTTTCTTTTCTTTTCGTTTATTATTTGCTTTCATTCTCAACATAATTTTCACTTTCTTTTCATTTTGATTTTCTTTGATTACACCGTAGGGATGCACCGATATGAAATTTTCCTGATGCCGAATCCGATAACCGATAAGCCGATAACCGATATATTGGCCGATAAATATAATTACACATTTTTATATAATTTCTGAGAGCCTGGTTACAAAACAAAAGTCTCACCATTAAAAGCTATGTCCCAAGAACACAATTATAATGTTTATGTAGCCGATATGACAGACTTGCACTGGCACACGTTGCACATAACTGTATTTTCCTTTTTTTGAAGTTATTCCGATCATATTTCAGGCAATTCAAAACCATAATGGAAAACAATACACATCTGGAGTGTCTCAGCTGAAGGAAATAATACATTATATTTAATATGTCAGCAATAAGGTTCAAGAGGCTGTGCTGTATCGTGAATAAGTAGCGGCTGAAGGGCGTTGTTGGGCATGACGCAAAGCGGAGAGTTCAATAAAAACAACATTGGAACTGCAGTGTTGTGCAGTGATAAAAAGAACCGTTGGGTGAAGCGGTCATAGCCAGGTTTTATCATGAATAAAGCACAGCTATTGACCAATCAGAATCAAGGATTGGAACTCACCGTTTTATAAATAATTTTATATGTATTTTATAATGCTTCAACATATCGGCTACATTTTCTTATCAGGCCCATAACGATAACATTACAAAAAATAACATATATTTGCCATTACTGATATGGTGGCCTATATTTTGTGCTTCCTCTTATTACACAATGATTTTGTGGGTTTTGCATTTTTTAACATTTTAAAGTTCTCGTCAATTTTCCACTATAAAGGGATCATTTTATTGTGTTTTTGTCGTTTTAAAACTGTAAATATATTGTTTATTTTTCATTTCAATGCAACAACTTATATAAAAATATATTTATAAGCGATTTATACCAAATTTTGGTCTGCAATATTTGTACTGACTGGTAGTCCCGCCTCCAAGCTCTTGCGATTGGTTAAACCAGAATTTGCCAGATGTTGGACCCCACAGATATTTTTTTTTTTAATATATATTTTGAAAGTGCCACAGTGTTTAGTATTTTGGAGAAGTCAAATGTTTACGTGTTGTCTGTCTATTTATTTCGGGGGGAAATTACGCAATTCCGTCAAACATTCTCATTTCATTATTACAATATGCGCTGAAAGCAGCTGTTTTATATTTACAACATAGCAGTCACATGTGCAATCAGAAACCGCCATTTGGCTGTCCAGACTTTGATGTCTTCCAGGAAACATCAGCTTTCATTGAGCCAATATGCAGCATTCACATGTGGCTGATGTAGACATGTCAGGATTTGTTCTGCCATGTGTATCTCTGCGACACACATGGGAATAAATAGGCCAGTGTCATTTTACAAAACAGCTTCTGTCACAGTGTCACACCTTATCGAAAATATTGTTAGCAAACTAGACCAGAACTAGATACATGTCGAGCGAGGTTCTGGATGAATGCACCTGAAAAGGAGCAAAAACATCTCAGGCTTTTGACAATGACATTATGTAATATAATCAGCGCTGTTGAATCAGACATACAACCAGACATGCAATACAAGGGGCTGATTGTGTAGGTCTGTGTGTATACTTTATGTGTGTGTTTCTGTGTATGGGGTCCTTTTGTGTGGGCTGAACAGGAGGAGGTTAATGTGCTCACAGATAATCTTTCACTGTAAATATTTAGACTGAAGGCTCAAAGACCCATCAATTCCTCCCAGGAACATTAAAAAAAGAAAATCTCAGTGGCACATTCATACTCATTCCAGCTTCAGTACACACCTTCAGAATTTCTGAATTGGCTTTATGCACAGCTGCACTACTTCCTGAACTTCAGCCAGCTCCTTGTTTCCTGTCTGACATTATTGGACAAACTGATTAATCCAGGTGTGTTTGACCTTAGTAGTCACAACAACAATAATCAGGCACACCTGGATCAATCAAGTTTGTCCAATAATGACAGACAGGAATCAAGAAGCTGGCTGAAGTTCAGGATGTAGTGCAGCTGTGCATAGAGCCAATTATAGCTAGTTTCAGAAGTAATACTTGCATGATGCTTAATGCAATCTGTGCAGTGTTCATAAATATCCAATTAAAAAGAAGATACACTCACCTAAAGGATTATTAGGAACACCATACTAATACTGTGTTTGACCCCCTTTCGCCTTCAGAACTGCCTTAATTCTACGTGGCATTGATTCAACAAGGTGCTGAAAGCATTCTTTAGAAATGTTGGCCCATATTGATTGGACAGCATTTTGCACTTGATGGAGATTTGTGGGATGCACATCCAGGGCACAAAGGCCCCGTTCCACCACATCCCAAAGATGCTCTATCGGGTTGAGATCTGGTGACTGTGGGGGTCATTTTAGCAGAGATGGGACCAAGTCACACATGTGCAAGTCTCAAGTAAGTCTCAAGTCTTAACCGTCAAGTCTCAAGTAAGTCCCAAGTATTTTTTTGGGGGGCAAGTCAAGTCAAGTCAAGTCACAGGCTATGTCAAGTCAAGTCAAGTCAAGTCTTGTAGTAGGTCAAGTCAAGTGCAAGTCAAGTCACCTTATTATTGTAATTTTACATGCAGAATCTGATCTTAATAAAGTGAAAAGACAAGATAAGTATTTGCCAGTAAATTACAATAATTTGGATTTGCATTGTAAATACTCATGTTCAGTAAATACATAATGGAATCAAACAAAATTTTAACTTCATAAAATAATTTATTTTTCACTTCTGCCAACAGTGTTTGAAATGTTTTAAATTTTCAGCAATTTGAAATGTTTTAAATGTTTTAAATGTATCAGCAATGGCGGGGTAACATCACTTCTGTTGATGTTCAAACAAAACAGAGAGCTAGCTGGCTACTCCCTCCCGTCCCATGCAATTGAAACTCTTCTAAACGTGCATCTATGGGTATCAGTTTGGTTTGAAATGGACAGAGGCGCATTCAGAAGTGTATTTGGGTACAATGACGCATTCATTTACTAGCTTACTGATTTAAAGAAATAAAAATGTATACAAAAATGAGATGATGTCCTAACTTGTTTTATGAAAAAAGCCTTAAGTTTTCAAAAAGCATTAGACATTACTCACTTACTCCCAGTAATTACTCCCAGTCAAGTTTGATAAAAATAAATGTTTAGTATATTTTTATTATTAAAATGCATTTAAGAAAATATATTAATATAAACCTGATTTATTGTTGACTGGTGTGTGTGTTTAAAATTTGTTTTCAGAATAAAATGGAACTATTCAAGCAAATTGTAGAAATCCTCCCTCCGGAACGTTATAGGCAGTAAAACATGTTATGGGTAGATTATGTGGTAATGCATCTCCGAAATGGGACATAATTTAACCCAGATATTTTTTCACAAGACGGAACACGTCATAAAGCCCATTACAAGTCTTAACTCATTTTTGACCAAATGTGTAGTTACTGCGCTTTGCCTTTGTAGGGCAGTATTGCTATGGGGTTCCTACAGGAAAACTGAACTCCCTGAGCTTCTTCCTGTATTCGCGAAGTTGACTGTGTGTATAAAATAACTTCTTATTAAACTGTATGGACACTCTGACAAAGTTCTCAATGCTTCGTTTTGAATGTAGGGACACTTATTATGTTAATGTGGGGCTATTTTGAGCCTTGTGGTAATAACAAGCGATTTTTATTTGTCATTACTCTATGCCCTATACTACCGTTATACTAGCGTTATAGGCTAAACTGTTTTTATAGATTAAACTATTTACATTCGGCAATCATGAAAACAAATCTCAGATAACGGTTGACTAGGTAACAATGTGTAATTTTGCGCCGGTGTTCTCCTTTAACTTACATTAGCTAGCTAACTACGAACGAGCTAACCAGATAACATTAACAAATTGACAAGCACTTACTGGGCAGAATGGCTCTTCAAATGAC